AAATTAGTTGTTATGTTTTAGTTGCCTGTGCATCCGGTTGAGAGATGACCGGATGTGGCGGTAACACCCATTTCCCTTATTAAGACTTCCGCTGTACTTTCTTTAAATTTTCATTATCAATAAATAAAAGTTTTATTTCAATTATATCAACGTTTTGGGTGGGAAATTTGGGGGTGTTACAGGCATCATCAGCGCCCTCCGCGCCTACTCCATTGTTTTTGCATGGGGGCCGGAGGACATGCCGGGGATCAGCCGAAGGGTCATCACCCACCGCCTCTCGGTGGACCCTTCGGCCAAACCAGTTCAACAGCGGAGGAGACCCTCTCGGCCGAGAGAAGGGAATTTGTGAAGAAGGAGGTCGCCATTCTTCTTTCTATCAAGCACATCAAGGAGGTGAAATACCCCTCATGGCTGGCAAACGTAGTCCTCGCACAAAAACCGCCCTCATTCCGAATGTGCGTGGACTACACGGATCTCAATAAGGCGTGTCCCATGGACCCCTTTCCTCTGCCCAATATTGATCAACTGGTGGATGAAACCGCGGGGTGTGAAATCATGTCATTCCTCGACGCATTCCGCGGATATCATCAAATATACATGCATGAGGAGGACGCTGAAAAAACAGTCTTCATGACTCCCGAGGGCATCTTCTGCTACCTTGTCATGGCCTTCGGCCTGAAGAACTCAGGCGCCACCTACACTCGGATGGTGGCCAGGGTATTTCAGGCTGTCCTGGGGCGCACCATGGAGGCATATGTTGACGATATGATCGTCAAAAGCAAGCAGTCAGCAAGTCATGCTGACGACCTGAGGGAGATCTTCGCCATCATGCAGAAGTTTAGCCTTCGGCTGAACCCGAAGAAGTGCACCTTCGGCGTCCAGGGGGGAAAATTCCTGGGCTACATGGTTAGCCGAAGGGGTATTGAGGCCAACCCCGAGAAAATCCAGGCCATCATCAACATGGAGCCCCCACGCAACATGAAGGAGGTCCAACGGTTGACGGGCCGCCTGGCAGCCCTCAACCGCTTCTTATCAAAATCGGCGGAGAAGTCCTTACCCTTCTTCCAGATCATGAGGAAAACCGCCGGTTTCCAGTGGACTTCAGAATGTCAGGGGGCATTCGAGGAGCTGAAACGATACTTATCTTCACCCCCTGAGCTCTCTAAACCCAAGGTAGGGGAAATCCTGTACCTCTACTTGGGTGTTAGCCCGGCGGCCATCAGCTCTGTACTCATCCGGGAAGAGGATGACATCCAACATGCCATTTTCTATGTTAGCAAGACCCTCAGGGAAGCGGAGCTCCGGTACTCCCCCGTGGAAAAGACGGTGTTGGCTATCGTGTGGACCGTCAAGAAGTTGGGTCATTACTTCCAGGCTCACCCGGTCCAGGTCCTCACTCACCAACCTCTCGGCGCCTTGATGAGTAGCCCCACTAGCTCCTCCCGAATGGTAAAATGGACTGTCTTCTTGAGCCAATACAACATCGACATCCGTCCTAGGCCCGCCATCAAGGGCCAAGCCCTAGCGGACTTCGTGACGGAGTGTACGGCAAGGGCAGCCACAGATGAGGAGCCCTCGGCCCCTTCAGGTGACTGGTGGACCCTCTACACCGACGGCTCCTCCGCCATTAATAATTTCCAACAATATGACGGTACGTGTGTGCCGTTTAGAAACTTAGGATTAATATGCCAAATTTGCCCCCAGTGTTGCCTAGTCATAAGACGGTAAATTAATACGGAGTCATTTGCGTGTGTTTCCTGGGCAACGAAAAAAATAGAAAAAAATACTCCGTAATTTATTTGATTGTTATATTATAATATTTTTAAATTATATTATTCTTCAATTATAATTAGAAGGTGATCATTTACAATAACTTGATCCGATAAATTACAATTACACGTTCAATCAGTTACATTTTTTATTCGATCAATTAACGTTATTTGATCCGATCAGTTACAATTATCTATTTAACCAGTTACAATTATCTGATCCGACCAGTTACAATTACCCGATTCGATTACTTACAGTTACCCAATTAATCAGCTACAATTACCAAACCAACCAGTTACAATTATCCGACCCGTCAGTTACAATTACTCGACTGATAAGTTATAGTTACTTGACCCGTCAGTTATAATTACCCGACTAATAAGTTACAGTTACTTGACCCGCCAGTTATAATTACCCGACTAATCAGTTACAGTTACTCGACCCGTCAGTTACAATTACCCGACTGATCAGTTACAGTTACTCGACCCGCCAGTTACAATTACCCGACAAATCGGTTACAGTTAGTCAACCCAACCCGTCCCTAATTACAGTTGCTGACTCGTCCAACTACAGTTACTAGACCAATCCAGTTACAGTTACCCGGTCCGTCCAGTTACAGTTATCCGACTCGTCCAATTATAGTTACCCAATCCACCTGATTACCATTACCCGACATACCAATTACAATTATTATGACCACCTATATATAGATAGCCACCGCCGACCACTGCTGCCCCACCCTGATACGGCTCAGCCCCCAACCACCTCCCCTGCCCTAACCCCCTCCCCATCTTTGTCACCCATCTGTCGCCCAAGGCGCTCAATCGCGCCGCCAGTAAAGACGTCGACCACCACAGTCACCGTCGCTCGCCATTGTAACTCTAACAATTGTCTCCTCCTCGCCTGTCCAGTATCGCGCTTGGATTTGCCTCCTTTGCTCATAGTCGTGGGAATCACCATCCATGGCGTGAGACAGAAAGAGAAAGCAACTGGGATGGAGGCGAGCAACGAATTCAGCGGTGTGGCACGCGACGAAGACCGCGGGCGGTGGCAGCAGGTGAAGGGGAGATCAGGAGAAGCACAGAATTCGCAGGGAGAACCATGGGGCAGCAGGTACGAAGATGGAAGAAATTGGGGGAAGGAAAGTGAAGATCCGTAATAATTGGTGCAAGGTTAAATTTGTAAATTTACACTGAAAAGAGTCATTTATGGAAATAACGGAAAGACTCCTATTTTTGTCTTTAGGTCTTCCGTTAGCATTATTATGGTCATTCTTTCATGATCCTATCCAGCCGGAGGGACAGGACTCTCCGTCCGGTCGTCGTTGTTTGCGGCAGTTCTCACTGGATTTTTTTGATAAAGTTTTTTGAGCATGTTCATCATCAAATCTAGATAATCCTCAAAACAATTCAGCTGAAAATTAGATTGGGAAGGCAGTCAATTTTTTTGAAAATAACTGTGTCAAATTATCTATTAAAAGAGATAATGGAGAATTTAGATTTTTTTTTTTGAAAATAACTCTATTTATAAAATATGTTCGTCTAAAACTTTATTTACAAGGATTATTGAATTTAATTATCTCTTTCCATTTATGTAAATAGCTTTGACATTAATGTGGTTAGTCTTATAATAAATATTATCAAGTAATAATAAAATTTAAGATTGTATACCAGCATGTATATTTTTTATCTAAATCTACGAGTAGTAGCTTGCTTCATATGTGTTGTTTAAGTTAGAAGTACATATATTTCTTAGAAAAGTAAAATAAAAAAGAAAAATAAAATATTCAACAAATCTAGACGCTCTAGGCCGGCAGCCGATTAAGATCTCTAGGCAAGAAACTAGGAACACTACTAAAAACCTGGCTTACAGTGACACTTATTTAGTGACACTATAACATCACATAGTATTTATGACATATATGTGTCATTGTTTTTGGCATATTATTATTATTACAGAATAGTGACACTCACACATACTCATATTACATTCTTTTATTACGTGCCTTCCCTTTCTTCCAACCGATCCAGCTATTCTCTTTCACTTCAAACCCTAGTGCCTTCTTCCATTACCGAATCGACAAGTCATCTTCTTCCAATTAAATCGAATGATTCTCGTTCTCTAATACCTTAATCTCATCCATCAATTGATTTTCATGTTGAACGGCAACCATCTTCTCCACTGCAACCTTCTAGTGCAGCGAGATATGGAGAAGGTATATGGAAATGAAAGTGGGACGTCACAAACACGGGTCACAAATACATGAGTTTTAGAGCGAGAGGCTCCTCCTTCAATCTACACCTTCGCATTGTTCGTCCGCTGACCACTGAAGCCTGGGCGGCAGTAATGCCGCCGCACTACAATCGATTCCTCCATTGGGGCATGAAGACGGAACACAACAAGAGGTGAGCAGTGATTCTACTATTAGGTTGCGATTCACACGGAACTATCGTTGAGGGAATGAGGCCTCATAATCTGAGGGGGTCGGAGCCGCTGGTCTCCTAGACACTGCTCTTCTAGCTTGAATTCGTACGGCAGAAAAGAAGTCTGTCGCACCTCCAACGCTATTAGTAATCAATTTCTAGGTCTATTCATATACACTTTCTTCTCTTCTTACTTATACTCTGTTTTTTGTTGTTCGGTCTATGCAGTTAAGCTTTTACTCAATAGTAGAATATAATTAGGGTTCTACAAAAAGTCTTTTTTATAATGTTTAATTTTCGTGATTTTTTAATGGTTTATTACCAAGTCAACAAAATGAAAACCTTATTTATGTTTGATTTTATTGTATTCAAAATATAATTTGACATTCTGATGTTGTTTGAAGAAAAAATAAAATTTCGTATACACATTTAAAGCATGTTTATTATTTTCTCCTCAACCAAAACCTTATTCAAAAGGTTTATTAAAATCATCACTTAATAAATCTATAAATAAAATTAATTACATAGGATTATGAAAACCAGAAATCAAATAGGTGAGTTTCTTTATCGTAGTATTAGTGATTGGGTAACTTGAAGGAACTATATGAGAAACTATATAGACTCGCAATGTTTTATGAACTTAGATGACATAATTGTTGCAGGAAATGTCATATTTTGTCTTCTAGTTCAGTGAATGAGAAATTATTAATTAATTTCTGTTTGGTATCAAGATATCTGATTCCTGTTACTTTTTATGTTGCTTTTTAAAGTATCAAGGCTTCTTTGGTGCTCACATTTTCTTTAATGCAGCTTTCCTGGGTCCAACACTTCATCCTTTCCTCGTTTAAGTAAGATTCTTAAGTTATTTTGTGTTATGTCCTGCTTTATATACATTTTCCTGATTTTAAGTTTTCCTAGGTTCTCATTCAGTTCACATTCATCCTCTGCAAAAGATCATACACAGATGTCTTGAAGATTTTTTTGAGAAAAGACTGCTTGTAAGTCAAAATTTGCTCCCAAGCCAGGAAAGATGTGAGGAGATGCTGAAATTGATTCCTGATGAGCGTATGGATGTTTATTTTTTGTGAATTATTCTCCATACAGAACTATAGTTTTTATTTTCCCATCTCCTAAATATTATGTTAGGTTATTGTTGATTTGTTGCAGATATTGCATCTGAACTCAGATCAAGGTGGCAGGAAAATAAACGTGTCAGAGAGGATATTAATATTTACAGATGGGAACAACTAAAACACCTGCTACAATCTGGTAAACACAAGGTATATGCTTCACGGAAACACTCTTTAAAGCCACATCGGTATCATGCATTTTCCCATTGACATCTTTTTTTAGCGTCCCATTTGCATCTTCAAGTGTCTAAAATTTTTATTTCATTTTCCAATTGGTACAGTGACAATCTTATGCTGCAACTTTCATCATGTTATTTATTAATATACCTATTCTATGATTTTCTTGGACGCGATTTTCACTATGGGTCATCCGGAAACAGTCTCTCTGTGCTTTAGTACAGGGGTAAGACTGCGTACATCCGACCCCCCTTACCCCACCGTAGGTGGAAGCTTTTGCGGCACTGGGGTAAATGAAAATGATGAAAATGATATGATTTTCTACTGTGGATTACACATTTGCCTAATTGCCTTTGAAAAGCTCTCAACAGATTCTTCAAGTAGACATTTTCTTTTGAATTTCTATTATGCTCAGTTTATTGATGTTTCACTGAATGTGATCTCATTTTACATTTCAGGCCCAGGAGATTCGCAGGTGTGTTGAAGAGATTGTGTTTTCTTTCGCCTACCCCAGGCTTGATATGGAGGTTTGTTTGTTCATCCTTTTCCTTTTCTATCTCTCTGTTACAAATGCAACTGCAGCATTTTGGGACATGCCCTTTTCAATTTTTCCTAACAATAATTGAGAACAAGTTATATCTTTTTTATAAATTATTGATGCATAAACCTAACATGATAGCAATATCCAGGTTTCAAGAAAATTGAATCATTTATTGAAAGCACCATTCTGCGTGCATCCCCAAACAGGTACTTGGCAATATTGTTTATTACTTTTTCTTTGTGAGGGTTATTTCCTGGTCATACAAACAATTCTAGAAATGCCAACACCTGAATATCTAAAGATTATAGATTCATATTGATACGTTATTTCTTTTTCTCCAGGCCGTGTCTGTATTCCTATTGACCCCAATGAATGTGAGGAATTTGTCCTGAATGTATTAGTGCTTTCTGATATCAAATCAGATCTTTTGAGTTTTTATAAATATAAGTTTTCATCTCCAAACCGTTGATGCTCTTGTGTCTTATATTATGTGATATGTCAAGCGATGAGGTGGTCCGAGCTCATAAAGTGTTGTAGTACTCTCCCAGGACAGGTATATATTCTGTTAGATGGTCCAACAAGACCTACTCGTTTATTGGTATATGTTTAATGCTACTTGTGGGTGATGATAATAGAAATGCAGGGATTGAGTGATGCTTCTCGAGAATTGGCCATCAACACAGTATGCCATCCGCTCCCCTGGATATTCATAGTCCAACTTATGCTTCTTGGAGGATTTAGTTAGCCTGTTTGTACTCTGTTTCCAAGCTAAATATTCTCTAGAAAAGAGATCATTAACTACATTTCTAGAGCCATTTCAGCCTTCTAGTTAGACTAGTTAGCCTTTTGTTATTTTTATTACTTATTATTGTTTCGGGGTATGCCCCTACGAATTATGTAGTATGTACATTCACACTTATATGAGAATTTGAAATATAAATAAAAATGTTTCAAATTTTGGTTACTTATTAGTATTAAATTATATATATATATATATATATATATATATATATATATATATATATATATATATATATATATATATATATATATATATATATATATGTATGTATGTATGTATGTATGTATGTATGTATGTATGTATGTATGTATGTATGTATGTATGTATGTATATGTATATTAAAATCGGTGTATTATGTGTATGTTTTCATGATACTAGAGTGTCACAAAACTTTGTGATACTATAGTGTCATAACACTTTGTGATACCATAGTGTCATGATTTGGTGATACTATAGTGTCATAATTTAGTGACACTTTTAGTGACACTTTTTTAGTGTCACTAGCCCCCACTTTCAGCGACAGTTTTTTAGTGTCACAGAAGCCTGTTAGTGACACTAATTTGGTGTTACTGTGAGACATTTTTCTAGTAGTGGAACCCTGAGTGACTAATTCACCTAGGCGTCAAACCAGTTAGCCGGATTGCCTAGACAAAAATCGGGGCATCTGACCACCGCTATTTAGAGGAATTTGATATTATTAAATAGACATTCAAAAACATTAGTAGTCAAAGTTGGTTATTGATAAACGTGAAAGTCAAATCCATCCTATTAAAAATAAGAGGAAATATGAAATACATTTCTTAGCTTGTCTACATTATTTGACATTTTGTCCTATTTGATACGGAGTAACAAACAAGTTCTTTTGAAAATAGAAGATTTTCATCTACAGTGATAATAGATTTTAAAAAATTGTTTGCACTTTATTTACCAAACATTAAGCTACAAAGAACTATTTATAAAATATTATTCATCGCTGACATCATTTTATTCACTTTAATAAGAGATTGAAAGACTTTACATGTCTGGTTATTATTATTCTTTGACTAAATCACTAAAATAAAATATTTTGATTGTATTACATTATTTGCATCATATCATTTAAGTCTCGATGCATGAGCACTTGCACTATATATACGCAATATGCAAGAAGGGTAGAATGACGTGGTACACAAAGGAGACCGGTCGAATACCATCAGAATATAGAAAGAGCTTGTAATATGGCAACCAAGAAAGAGGAGACCATCGTCCCACAAGAGCCACCTACAGGTACAGAAAACATGATAATTAAGAAATTACCCCAGACTAAAATCTAGCCAAAAGTTAAAATATAATAGGAATACTTATGTTTTGTTCCCTTTTATGATTGATAAACTCTTATTCAGATATTTCTTCATTTATGTAATACTACGGTAGTACGGTATCTAAGGGGTGATTCTAAAAGTACAGGAGTTTGGCATTTGCATGGCGAATTTACGGGAAAATTTATAGGGTTCCAGTGCTTCTCTTCTATCGGAATTACCTATTCGGACTACACATTTTTTTCTCCAAAAAAAGCTACTAGTCGGAACTCAAGATTCCGATCAGTTCATTTGTAATTTTTATACTCCATAAATGCAGATTCTAAATGATTGTGATTAGATGTTTTGTTTATATTTTTAATTTTTATATTATACAAACCATATTTTAAATATACTCTACTTTTGTTTATATTTTTAAATGTAAATGTAAAACCCAGGTGGAGATCATGTATTTTGATTTTGTTATAAGAGATAATTGGGTACTTTTATTTTATGTTTTAATTAACTCATCTGTATTAGGGAGTAGTTTTTTTTTTCTGCACTTTCTCTTTCCTTATAGTATCTGTTCTATTAAATGCCAACATTCTTGATTCAATTGGGATGAGTTTGGAACATCTGACCTCCTACTTGGGAGTGTTTGATTAAATTTTACGGAGTATATGCTTAAATTTAATGAAGTGGGTACATGAGAAATAAGTTTGTAGATGGAAATTTATCTTATTAATAAGGAGAGAGAGAGTGGAAAATATGAAAGAGAACATAAAAAATAGAATAGGTAAGGGTCGTATTTGAATATGTTTAAAAGAAAAACTTATTAGAAAAGGAAAGTGTAGCAAAGTTTTAAATACTTTCAAAAAAGGAAAGTGTAGCAAAGTTTTAAATACTTTCAAATTAAAAAAGGAAAGTGTAGCAAACTTTAAAATACTAAGGGAGTATTACTATTACTTTATTGCCTGGAAGTACTTTGTATATAAAGTATATTATGAATACATAATACATAGTACTACCTCCATCCCACTAACATTGGGATAACGGAGATGACACGATTATTAAGAAAAGTGAGTTTATATGATTGATATTGAATTGATATAGTAAAAATAAAGTAAAAATGATTTAAAGTCACGCAAACTTTACCAAATTTGATATGAAACAATTTTAGTGGAATTTTTCAAAGAAAATAAAATCAGATAATCATAGCGGCTGGATGTAGTATATTTTATTGCTACGAATTACTTAATAAGTAAATAGTGTATATTATATATAGCAAATTTCCTTATTATAATTGCTGATGGAGTATATGGCCCAGGGACCCCCGACCCACATACTTCCTCTACTACAATCAGGCCCAACAGGCCCAAACGGGCCAAGCCCAGAAAAATGGAGCTCTAAGCAGCCCACAATACGCAAAGGGGTGCCTTCGGCCCCATGGCCGAAGGCTACCAGTGACGAAATCGAGCTCAGAAACATCATAGGAGAACAAGACTTGAAAACCAAGCCTTCGGCAACTGCAGCCCTCGGCAGGTAGGAGCCCTCGGTTAGAACAGGCATCATAGGAGATCAAGGCTTGAAAACCAAGCCTTCGGCACCTGCAGCCCTCGGCAGGTAGGAGCCCTCGGTTAGAAGAGGCATCACAGAAGAACAAGGCTTGAAAACCAAGCCTTCAGCACCTACAGCCCTCGGCAGGTAGGAGCCCTCGATTAGAAGAGCCTTCGGCCCAGCACCCTTCAGCCGAAGGCATCCACCCCGACAGAATATCCTCTTCACATGCGCCTGGATCACCGTACCAAGTACAAACGTCACCTCCAACCACCGCATTTAATGCGGCCACATGCGAGTGCCAGTGCCACCCCGGTTGAGGTGACCCCTCGACCACCAGAAAACTGACACGTGTCCTTATCTGGCATTTATTACTACTATAAATAGCACCCCTTTCCCCCATTGTAAACCACGCTTAATACATATCGAATATACACTCTCTCTCTTACTTATTTGCTCTGACTTCTCTCTAGTTATTCTCCGCAATAACCCCTCGGATAAGCTACCCCTCGGGTACACTATCCATCATTTGGTGCTCTCGTTGAGAGGTCGAACGATCAAGTAAGAAACCCTCCCCCTTCGCCAAACACTAGCCCTCTACCAAAATGGTGAGAACAACACGTGCCAACTCCAAAAACATAGAAGACAAGAACCTGGCCCTCGGCGACGTCAACGCCCCCGAAGCCTCTCACAAGGCTCCCGAGGGCGGTGTCATAGCTGGGCTGGAACAGGCGGCTGTCGACCTACGCCTTCAGATCCAGCAGAATGCCCTCGATGCCCGCCTCGGCATCGAGGCCAAGAAGAAAAACTGTAGCGATGACCAAGTCAGCCCTCCGGTCCTCACCATCGACGTTCATTCGGCACTCTCCGCCTTCATCCAGACGCTAACTCAGAACCCGGGTGCCTTCGGCACCCTGGCTCCGGCTCAACCCCAGGTTGGGGAGAACATCGTACTTCCCCCTCTGTCACACCCCTTCGGAAACCCCATCCCTCGGGTTAGGAATGAAGAAGGGGTAGTGGCCCAAGACACGGCCTCCCAGGAAGTTCAGTCCCGGGACCGCCACAATGACAACAGAGAAAGGCCCCGCACTTCCGCCCTCAACCGGCTCGGAGGGGGGCAAGACCGCTGAGGGCCCCAAGAAAGCGGAGGGTCTGTCTCGAGGGCAGACGAGGAGCGTCCCCCTCGGGACAAAGGCAAGGCACCCCTTCATGCCGATGATGCTCGCCACCAGATCAACCAGGCCCACTCGGCCCGGGTTCGTTCGCAGGGGGCGGAGACCCTCCCGAAGGACCCCCGGGACGAAATTATTGCGGCCCTCCAACGCCGACTTGATGAAATGGAGGCCGACAAAGCTCACGCCACCACCTCCACCCCTCATTCAGACCTCAAATACGAGGCCATGCTGGCCAAAATGGAGGAATTACAGAAGAAGGTAGCCGAGGGCTCCGGAGAACCCATCATCCAGGTCCGGACCCGGACGCCATTCACCCCAAGGGTATTGGCGGCCCAAATCCCGGAAAAGTACCGAGGGCAACTCATCAAGCCCTATGAAGGAAAAACTGACCCCCAGGAGCACTACAACAGGTATCAAAACAGCATGATGATGATGGGGGCATCAGATGAATACTTATGTCGTTGGTTCCTTTCCACCTTGGAGGGACCAGCATACGAATGGTTCAATCGATTGCCCGAGGGCAGCATTGACTCTTGGCAAGATCTTGCCCAATGCTTCCTCACCCATTTTGCCGGAAGGAAGCGCGCGAGAAAGCACTTCTCCCATCTCCTCTCCGTCAAGCAACAGCCTGACGAAACACTTCGGTCCTTCACTGACCGGTGGATGAAGGAGACAGACGAGGTCGAGGGCGCCGACGAGCGTACCCTCCTCGTCCTCTTCCAGGGGGTTCTCCGCAGCAGCCCCTACGCACGGAGCCTCATCACCGACCCCCCAAGATCATACCTCAGAGCACTCCAGCGGGGGAGCCTATACGCCGACGCCGACGACCTCCACTCCTTCAAGAAGAACGAGGGCCAGCCCTCGAAGAAGATAAACAACACGCCGGCCCCAAATGTGCCCTCGGTCGGAGGCCGAGACCATGGAAGCCACACCCAGCAGGGCCGTAACGAACGCCAATGGCGCCCTCGGCTGGACATGCCGAGGACTCCCCTCACGCACCCGGTGAGCACTATCCTCAACTATGCGGAAGAGCAGGACCTTTTCCCCAAGGACCCTCGGTCGGCGAGGGAGATCTACGCCATCCACCAAGGCGGCACTTATTGCCGTTACCACAAAAGCACCTCCCACAATACAGACAATTGTGTCTCGTTAAAGAA